TACCGGCTACACAAACACACACACACACAAACACACACACACACACACACACACACACACACACACACACACACACACACACACACACACACACACACACACACACACACACACACACACAGATTAACAGACATAGACTGTCCTCACTCATACTGTAATGCTGCTTGGACAGAAACACGCCGCCTGTCTGCCTGTTGACACACACACACACACACACACACACACACACACACACACACACACACACACACACACACACACACACAGATGGATAATATTTTCACTCATTAAAATCTTATTTAAATCTGAAAAACAAATATGTCACTCAGAGTATAAGACATAATCTATACATATTATGTAAATGATTGTATGAAAGCCCTAGTTTACAGTCTAGTGACGAATCGAAGGTGAGAGAGAGGAAGACTTTGAGTTTTACACAAAGAGAAGATATCATGCGTTCTGCAGATAAACCCCCGAGCATCCGTCACCTCTCTCTTTCTGCAGGATCCTCAAATCAAAAGGCAGATTTAGTCTAAGCTTTTTGGTTTCCCTCTCCGTTTGTCCCTGGTGGAAACGCTCTGCTCTAAATACATGAAAATCAGAGACACAAGGAAGCCCTGACAGAAGTGGGAGAGGAGATGAAAGCAGACCAAGAGACGGAGGAGGACGATTTACACACAAAGGAGATGAAGAGGAGGAGATTTTCAGGGTCTTCTTTTTAAAATGCAACAACGGGAGTTTTAAGAAGAGCTGCAGCCTGGAACATCTGCCCCAAAAACTCTGAATATCGGAAAGAAAGGCTGAATAACAGTGTCACGGCTGTGATAGGTGATATAAGTAGTCATACAACATGTTATAAGATTATTGTGACTTATATACTACTAATATTTGTCCATTTTGGACCTAATTATTGTATTTAATTGAAATAGAACATGAAACCGGCCTAAGGTGGGGAATACATATTTGTTAATAAGGCTAAAAAAAACGGGAAAACTGAATCTCTCAAGTTGCTTTTTTTGGGTCAAATTATCCACACATTTTACAACAATTTCTGTCCCACCTCTTCCCTGTTCTATCTCTACATCTGAATGTCATCGTATGTCTTAAAGGTAGGGTATGTAAGTTTGAGAAACCGGCTCGAGATACACTTGTTGTTATATTCCATGGAATGCTCTTAACATCCCGATAGCAATGAATATCTGAAGTGCTTTGACAAAAAATCCATAAAATAATCTCATCTTTGGAAGCTGTAGTACTGTAAAAAGCACGACCAATCATCTGAGCCGGCCCGGCTAAAATAACTGGATGGCCTACCTGCCTGTCAGCCTTCCATCTGTGCACAAACTTATCTCGTGCCCTCATTGGTCATGTGCGTGTTCGTGTGTGTTGGAGGAGGGGCTCTGTAAGGAAGTGGCAGATTTTCTCCGGTTGTGTATTTTCAAATTCTAGCGATCTCGAGCTGGTTTCTCCAAAATTACCTACCCTACCTTTAAGAGCAGGAACTTGATGTGGAAGATGTACCTCCCAGTTCCTGTAGATGTTCTGTAGAGAATATATTTACAGCTATCTCACCTTCAACCCCAACTTTTTCTGGGAGAGTTTGTAATTCAAAATGATCACAATGTGTGACTGCAGAGGCAAAGAAAACAAAACGACTCAAAAAGGAGGAAGCTGGAGTAAAGTAAACAATTTGCGTTGCACAAAACATTTGAGCAAAGCAATTCAAAGTGCTTCACAAAATCACCTTGAGCGTAAGGACAAAAGAAACACATTATAACATGAAATATTACAAATAAAAACAAGTTAAAATGGAATATTTGTGGGTCTTTCTTAGCTGAGGTAAACTGTCGCTTGTTTGTTGAATAAAGAATGAAAGAAAGATTTGTGTTAGTAACGTAATAACAGTATATGTGCACAGCATTTTATTCTACAGAGACAATTCCCAGTAGAGACACTAATCACTAATATACACCTTAACATCAGCAGGAGAGGACTCTTTAAATGTGCTTAAGATGTATTAAGTCCACCACACAGCAGAATATTTCACGAAATCTGAACCGAAAGCAGTTTTTTGGAGAAAACGATGTAGAAATGTAAGGTTATATAAAGAGGTTAATAATATAGGTTGAATTTCAGTATTACTGACGGAGAGGGGGAGATGCAGTGTGACTCACCCCAGGGGGGGGGGTACCCACAGGGACACTTTCCTCCCACACTGACGGACAGGCAAATGGAAAAATACAGATTTAGCTGCAAAATTAATGGAAAACTCGACACGTTTGAAACTCTTCGAGAGCAGAGAGCTGACATACCAGCCACTGGCAACATATAAAGAGAGGATTTAAATGTTGGTAAATAAAAGCTTCTGGCGGTCTTAACATACTTCCTGTCCCCAGAGGCCTGTACTACGAAGCTGGTTCAACCTAACCTGGATATGTTTGAGTTAGCCGGTTGGCCCAATCCAAAACATACGCGCTCTCGCTAAACTGTACTACGACGCCGGTCATCAAGTGGATCGCTCAAGCCAGCCGTGTCCTATCTAGTTAGGTGCGCATTCACATGAAAGGGGTGGTATCTGGAGCATTCGACCAATCACAAACATGGACAACCGTACTGACAGCGCAGCGTCATACTTCCTGAATGAAAAGTGAACTTTAATATTAGTCAAATATGAAGAAGTTAAACTTTAAACATCCATGACTTAAACACTTTATCCAGGATAAAAGCCACATAGCTGCACCTGCAAGGTGAATACAGCTGGTAACAGAGAAAGTGTTTGAATGCGTACATTAACAGGTTTATGATATCACTGCCCCGTCCAAGACACGAGTGGATCTGACTTTAATTACATTTGACTCGAGTGTTTCGTCAACTTAATGTGTTGCTTAAAATAATACTTCTGCATACAGTATGTGACACTGTGAGTGTTGCACGGCCAGATACGGCTCAGCTGACTCAGATAAGGAAATGTATGATACATTATGATGTGATATGATATGAATGATAATTGGACACATCTACGTCTGCACTCACAGTGCCGCGGACTGTACTTAATGTTACTCTGATCCGGTTACTTATGTTGTGGCAGATATTTAAGTAAGCTTTCTTAACGCTAATGTTATAATAGTCAGATTGCTCTGAAGATGGGAGGAGGGGATATTCTATTCATTTTCACGTTCACACAGTCAGTTGATTTTTGCCGGCCGTCTTTCCTGCAACGGCAGTTTTTCTGTATTTCTGAAAACCCGGCTTCGTAGTACAGGCCTCTGATCTGGAACTCAATGGTTTCCTGAATGTGTTTTTTGTTGTTATCCTGAAATGACACACAATGACACTTGTTAACACAAGCTGAAGAGATTTTGAAGTTTTGTTCAACTACAGAAAATACGTCAGTAAATACCTCACTGGTGGATTTAAAAACGGAGGATGCTAACAAGTCTCATCACGGCCAACAATTAACACTGATTAACCGTCAACATGTAAAACAAGAGGGGTTGCTCCCAGAATCCAGAAGGAGGTTTTAAAGACCTTTCCTTCTTATCTTCACACACACATGCCCACTGTTTAACTTCCCATTCACAGCCTGTAAATGTTGGTTGTTATTAAGCCCTTTCTGGTGTTATTGTGTGCTTTGGATTAATGGTGCGTTCTGGTTCCTTTATTCCCTTAAAAAGGACAAAAGACAGTTTTTTTTTGTTTGTGTCCAAAGCTCATTTCAGCCTCATTAATTCATTAATGAAGCCCTGCTTTAAAAGAACATTGTGTTCATAACGCTTCAGTATTTTCATGCACGGGTTTATAATGGAGGAATTGTACTTTTCTGCCCTCCTGACAATAACAAGACAACGACCAACAATCTGAACTACAAGACAGGACAACAAAGTAAAACATACATCAAAGCACATTAAACACACACTTGTAATATGTAATTAATAGTAATATGGGTGTAGGGGCTTAAAAGTTTCTAGAGCCATTTCTAACATACGAGGAGTGGTTTCAACGTACAACGACATGCAGTGGGGTTTGAACCTGTGACCCTCTGATCCGGACACCTACGCACAACCCACTGCACCACTCGCCTATACTAATAAAATAAGACATGTTAAACAATTAAAAATAAAAACAAAACGTATATCATAAACTCAGTTAAATGGCTCCTACAATGGGTATAATGTAGAAAGTAGCAATCAATTAGTTTTCCAAAATATGTATATGTGATGAGAGTAACACATGCGTCACTTCTGGGCGAAATCACGGCCCCGCCCACTTTTGGGGGAAAACATTTGCTGTCATTTGATTGGCGGTAAATACAGATTCTAATGTTTTCACATAAAATAATTAAGAAAACCACGCTTTTTTTACCACCGTTCAAATGGCAGCGAATGTTTTCCTCCAAAAGTGGGCGGGGCCGTAATTTCGCCAGGAAGTGACGCCTCTCATCTATGCCCATTTCAGGGTTGTTTATCATTTTCTAGTTTGCATTATGAAATATATGAAAACTAGTATGAAGGCATTGGGTTTATGAAGCTTAATCAAAACTTGAAATACTTTTCGCATATTATTTCAAATGTGTTCTTTCCATGCTTTCCAGTGTATTTGTGGCGAGGATTTCCTCTGTTTGAGTATCAGTTTTGAATCCTAGTTGCACTCACATCTGCACACTTATGTAAATATATCTAACATGTTCATTCAAATGCTCAACGTTTTACTTTGATATCTTGTTTCAACAGTTACTTTATCACTTTATTTTGAATTTCTTTTTTTGTATTATTATTTACATTTGTATTGAATTTTACCTTAATTTTTACCATGTGTGAATCCTAATGTTCACTCTGACCCTGTTGCTGCTATAAACGCCTGAATTTCCCCACGGGGATAAATAGAGTTCCATCTTATCTTATTTTATCCACCACTGCAGAAAATCATCAGCTCACACAACAACCAAATATTTGCCACCTAGCGATCGTTCCTCTTAGTAATTTCCTCTTTCCTCTCTGCAGGAATCTCAATGCCGATCCCCGTTCTTGGCCTCCGAGATCACTCCAAGGTCTTCAAAGATGGCAGCTGCTTTCTGACGGACAACAACTTCGTGCTGGTCGGTTCCTTCGTGGCCTTCTTCGTGCCGCTCACCATCATGGTGGTCACCTACTTCCTGACCATCAGGGCTCTTCAGAACGAGGCCACGCTTTGCCTGGATCAGCTGGTGCCTCGTCCCAAATGGAGCACAACGTTGACTCTGAGTTTCCTCCCACAGAACTCAATGTCCTCAGAGAAACTCTTCCGGCGTTCGTTGAGTCGAGAAGCCGGCGGCAGAGGAAGTATTTCAGGTTCTGTGTTTGGACGCCGAACCATGCAGTCAATCAGCAATGAGCAAAAGGCGTCTAAAGTTCTTGGAGTGGTGTTTTTCCTCTTCGTGGTCATGTGGTGCCCGTTCTTCATCACCAACGTTCTGGTGGTGGTTTGCGATCCTGAGGTTTGCGACCCAGCGTTGATGGGAAATCTGCTGAACGTTTTTGTTTGGGTTGGATATCTGTCGTCCGCTGTCAACCCGCTGGTCTACACGTTGTTCAACAAAACGTACCGGGCGGCGTTTCAGAGATACGTTCGCTGCCGGTATCGGGCAAAGAAGAACAAACCACTGCAGCTGATTCTCGTGAACACAATCCCACCGATGGCTTTCAGTTCAAGTCAGCTGGGAGACAAGTTTAGGAACGGATTGGCGAACTGTAGCGGTGAAATTAAGGATTTTTCTTTGTCTAAATCGGACAAAAGTCACGGAGGCAAAGACGAAAGCTGCGTGTGATTAAAACCGTTGGACGAAAGTCAAGGACGAAAGCTTTTGTCCGATTAAAACCATCGAACAAAAGTGTCATTTCCAGAAACTCTTCCGGCGTTTGTTGAGTCGAGAAACCGGCGTGTCCAGCGCTTTCGACGTTCTGTTGGTGGTGTGCGTTCCTGAGTTTTTGCGACTCAGCACTGATGGGACGATTGCTGATTTTTTTCGTATGGGTTAGATATCTTTCATCCGCGGTCGACCCGCTGGTCTACACCAAATAAGGTGTCTCTAGGAACGGATTGGCGCACTGTAGTGGAGAAATTAAAGATTTTTCTGTGTGTAAATCGGACAAAAATCACGGAGGCAAGGACGAAAGCTGCGTGTGATCAAAACCGTTGGACAAAAGTCAAGGACGAAATCTTTTGTCCGATTAAAACCGTCGGACAAAAGTCACAGAGGCAAAGACAAAAGCAGCGTGTGATTAAAACCCTCTTTGTGTAAATCGGACAGAAGTCCCGGAGTCAAGGACAATATCTACGTGTGATTAAAACCGTCGGACAAAAGTCAAAGCCGAAAGCTGCGCGTGATTAAAACACTCGTTCATGGTGTATTTTAACAGATTATTAAAACCTTAAACTCTGGTCACATCGTGGATTGTGGAAAGTGCCAAAGACAAAGTGCCTCCAGGTCAGGATTTTAGAAAACACTAGAGGTCATGAGATGAAGTTGGGAAACTAGAATAAAACATTTGCATTTCAGTGAATTCTGGATCAGCTGAATCCAGTTTTAAACGCCCTTATTATGACATTTTGATAAACCAAAAGAAAGCTTGTTCAATGGATTCAAATCTCTGAAAGTGTTTAAGAGTTTTAGAGCCTCCTCCTGCCAGCTAGGGAAATTAGTCTTGGAAAAACATATAATTTCACTTTTTAAAGAGTGAATCAATAGAGTCTGAATGAGATGGACGGACAGTGGTATAAAAGATATGAAACACTCTTGGACAAAGACAAAAAGGTGACAGAAATTACCCATTTTATGACAATCTCTTTGGAGGAATTGGAAAAAACTATTATGAGGTTTTTTTCCGTGGATGTTTGCACCAGTCAGGTTGCCTCTACCTCCCATCATATATATACATTTCTTTTGTGGACAAACTGGGATTATCCTGGATTTCCTGCAACTGTATCCAATGTTAGAGACTAAGGATGACACCAGGACTCTGCAGAGGTAAAAACAAACTGCCAAAAACGAGAAGGAAAGAGGGTTAAATATTACGTCTGAAAAAATATATTTACCAGAGACAATCTAAATAAATCTATATTTGTATTTGTGCAGATTTATGTGAATAAATGTTAATGATTGTTGAAGTTTTGTTATTTACAAGTGAAAGGAGATTGTTAAATTAAATTATATTGGTAGGAAATTAAGAGGATTTAACTGCAGATGTTTTTATTGTAAAAGTCACACTTTTCCATTGTGTTCATCTTACACTCCCCATAAACACACACATGGCTTTTGATTCCAGAGACCTTGAGGTTTTTCGTCAGTTTTTACTTGTTGTAAATTGGTCTGAATGTCGTTTTAAAATGTGGACAAAAGGTGGATTAATGAATGAAGGGATCCATGGATGTATTAGCAAGGGTTGTCAGATTAAAAGTGTTTAACTTGGACCAGAAAGCAGCAGTATTTTAGATTAATTAATAATTGAGATTCTGTATGACTGCAAACAAAGCCTAAATGGTTGCAATTGACATACATTTGCTAACAAACACTGACTTAAAACGGTAGACTGTTTTTTTCTTGATTACTCTTCAACGTTGGTCTTTAAATTGTAGTGGAGGAACTTTAAATTATCGTTGGAACCGCTAATTGTCCTATTTTATATAGATTTCCTGATATATATATAATTAACACTTCCAACATCAACAGGACAACGACACACCAAACAAGCTCATATTTGATCAACTTTGAAAAATATGGTATATATATATATAAATGTATAATATATACATCTTCAAATACTGTCTATCTCTATCCATTCGGAAAAAAAGTAAAATTCAGACTTTTTTTAAGAATTGTGAGAAAAAAGTCAAAAATCATAATTCTGAGGAAAAAAGTCAAAATTCAGATCAAAAGTAAAACAAATTTCAGATTTCTGAGAAAAAAGTCTAGATATTGACCTTTTTTTTTATTTCTGAAAAAAGTAAACATTTCTGATCAAAAGTAAAAAAATAACAGAATTCTGAAACAATCTAAATTCTGACTTTTTTTTTTTATACTGAGAAAAAAATTCAAAGGTCTAACTTTTTCAGAAATGTGAGAATAATGTGGGGAATCAAAAAAAAAAAAACGGATTCTTTGAAACAAATCAAAATTCTGACTTTTTTCAAAATCCGGAGAAAAAAGTAAAAAATCTGCAATCTTTTGAATTCTGACTAAAAAGTCTGAATTTTGAAAAAGGTAACAATTCTGATTAAAAGTAAAAAAGAAAATCTGGAATTCTGGTTCTTTCTGAATTTTGAGAAAAAAAATCGGAAACATTCAAAAAATTCCTGTTGTTTCTTTTAAAGCAAATAGAACTAGTAGGTCCCTTAGAGTAGAGACACTGTTGAGCTTTTTAAAATCTAAACTTGAAAGTGCATTTTGGTTTATTTAGCTCTGTTGAAACATCCATGGATCAAACAATAAGTTCGGGTTTGCAAATGCTTACATTTGATAGAAAATGATAATAATTTAATTTACTCTTGGCACATTTTTCGCTGAGTCAAGCGACTTTCGGAGCTATTGCTGCTAACTACCGTTGTTGGAAATTAGTTTTTGTCAGGGAATCATTTCGCCCTACATGTTTACCTTGACCAACCTTGATCAGCCGTTATCTCCCTTAAGGAGGGGCTGCCCTAGCAAGTTGTTGTTGCTACCAGTTTGTGACCGGGCAGCTCTCGGTCAGAGATAGTTATTGTTGTGGGACACCTGGAACACATCCTTCTCGGGGTGTAGATGACCTCGAGCCATAAGCGACAACAAATGTGGTTCAGTGTCCTCAGCTGTTTAGTCTCTCTATTGAAGAATGTTGATTATTACACTCTGAACTAGTTAAAACCTGGAGCTACAGGAGGGGTCTTCAGAATTGATTGTAGTATCTCATCCGTGTGGTCAGATCGTGGCCCGTGACATGTCTTGTGAATTCTCCGGCCGAAGCTCCAAATAAACCGTCAGTGTTTGCCATCAAAGCTCCAGCTCTCCTCGTGTCTCTCTGAGTCCTGACTCCAATTGCTTCAGAAGTTCCCCCCACAGTTTTGATAATTACAAATCTAGATTACTCATAGTTCTTTCTCTAATTTGACCTCCCCGATGTTTAAGAAAACTCTGAACAACAAAGACACAAGAAAGAGGGAGAACATGTTATTCTCATAAAACTGTGTTGAGTTTGATGTTTATCTAAATGTAAGTCGAGAATAAGTGGATGTTATCGCTTCAAACATGTTAAATATTCATCCCAGGGTTTATTATTTTACGAGGGTAATAGCATGTTATCAACACAGACGTCTATAAATCACTTTATTGTCACTTTGTGGAGCATAACGAGAGCTAGCTCAGGGTATATAAAGACTGAAAGGAAATTGATTGTTGCATTAAATGTCACACAGAGTTACTCAAATTATAAGCAAAGAAATATGCTTTTTTCATGCAAAGGAACAGCAGGAAGGTCATTCATCGTCACCACAGCTGTTATTTAGTCCGAACAATGAGGACAAAAGTAATAAAGAAAGAGACATATTATCCCAGCAGGAGGCAGCTGTTAGCTCCAAAGCTACATTTATCCATTATACTTTTTCTTCTACCTGCTGTTCACAAACTGCATTATATCTACAACAACAGAACTGTTTTTCATGTCCAAATACCAGGTTTTAAAGGCAGCACCTCTTACATTATGATATTTATATGTAGGTTTCGTAACACAGGGTTTCTGAATGTTTAAATATGCAAATGAGGCATCATCTAATTCAATATGAGTGTGTGGACATTTGATAAAGCCAGTTTTCATGTTGTTGAGTCAAAGTTTAAAAAGGGATATCTCTTTGTTTCACTCCATAAATCAGACAATACTGCCATTCTGCATGTTTTTAGTAACAAAATGTGACATAATTAATAAGCAGGCTTTGAGATTGTTGTAGTTTGTTAAACTGAGACATTAACGACATGTTTGGTCTGTAAAATGTCAGAGAAAAGTGAAGGAATTGCAAATGTTGACGTCTTTAAAAGTCTTCTTCTATCCTACCCACAGTCCTTTTCCATTTCACTTGAAGAAGATGAAACCATTGATTATTTTATTGAAAATATGACTTTAAAGGATATGAAATGTTTCTGATAATGCTCTCTTGATTGATTGATTGATGGATTAACCCCCAATTGTTCCAGAAAGATCAACGTCAAATTCATATTTTGGACCAGTTTTCAAATTGTTTCCACTTTGTGTCCACACTTTCCAAGTTTTTCCGCTTTTCCCCCTTTTTTCCACTTTTTTCCCACTTCCATCTTCATGTGATGGCTCCATCTTTTGTTTATTTTGGACACTGAAATGAAACTGACGAAACAGGGAATCTTACTCCTAAAAACACTCTGAATTTCCCGTCAGAATCAGCCTCCTCTGGTATTGTTTGCTTTTGTGTTTTGCTGATGATGACAGTGTGTGTTTCAGTGACGTGAAAACCATCCACTCCTTTCTGCTGATGTACCTTTGTATCTATAAAAACGTGTTATTTTCTATTTATTTTTAACCTAGTGACTAATTGGGGATTTGATGTTTCGATGGTAAGTCAACAGGTTTTATTTGTCTCCTTGTTTTTCAAAGTAAAAAGGAACATTGGAGATGAAGTGTTTCCATGTGTGTAAGAGTTTCATTTATTCAAGTGAATACATGTGTGTGAGACAAAGGGACAAAGCTTCATTTTTGCCACAATTAATGGTTTATTTGGTATATTCTGCACATTGGGTTCCACCAAGTCGTCCAAATTAACAAACTAAAT